ACACATTATAGTTTCTTACATTTCACTTACATGGAATGCTGCAAAGCAAAGCAAGGAGGCTTTAGGTTCAGAGGAAAAAAAACTAGATTCCTTTCTAAGGTGCCTAGGAGACAGAAAATTGCAGGAGTCTAACCTTCAAGTGAGAATATGAATCAGAACAAACAACGAATTTGGGTTATGTGGAGACAGCGACTTAAAAATCTTGTTTTTCCCAGATCATGGGAATGAACCAACAGAGGGGATGGTGAGGGGAGGACCTGAACTTTGTCCTCTGGATCCTTAATATTTAGAGATTGGTCAGAGGACTGAGGTGACTGAGGGTGATGACAGAAAATTGCAGGAGTCTAACCTTCAAGTGAGAATATGAATCAGAACAAACAACAAATTTGGGTTATGTGGAGACAGCGACTTAAAAATCTTGTCTGTTTTTCCCAGATCATGGGAATGAACCAACAGAGGGGATAGTGAGGGGAGGACCTGAACTTTGTCCTCTGGATCCTTACTATTTAGACATTGGTCAGAGGACTGAGGTGACTGAGGGTGACTGAGGTGGTGCCAGCACAATTAAGAGAAACAAGAATGTGTATGAAAGACTGAAGGGAAGGTTCTGGCACTTTAAGGGGAGGTAATTGTCTAGCTAATTGTCAAAACAGATGGCATTGACGACTTCAGCAGATTCTGGTTTAGTGGGATTCATTGAGCAGAAACAAGAAGGGAAATTAGAATTGTGTATTAAAAATTACTTAAGAGCCCAGGGTGGTGGTGCAGAACTTTAATTCCCAGTACTTAGTTCAAGATCAGCTTGGTCTACACAGCCAATCAGGTGGAGAATGTAGATTAACGCCTCCTGAATGTTCAAAATTTTTGCACCTTTGCACTGTTTCCTGAGAACAATTTTCAAAGACGGTTTAGTGGGATTCATTGAGCAGAAACAAGAAGGGAAATTAGAATTGTGTATTAAAAATTACTTAAGAGCCCAGGGTGGTGGTGCAGAACCTTAATTCCCAGTACTTCTACATAGCCAATCAGGTGGAAAATGTAGATTAATGCCTCCTGAATGTTCAAAATTTTTGCACCTTTGCACTATGTTTCCTGAGAACAATTTTCAAAGAGCGGATATATTAGCACAAAATATATGAATATTTAAAGCTTTTATTTAAAATAATTGCTTAGTTTTTGGACTATGGTAATTTTTCAATATTCTAATTAATATTACTTGATAGTAAACTTCAATGATAAGTATTTGCTTCCCACTTTCAGCTTCCTTTTTCAATCAAGAGTTACAATCAGATTTTTCTATTTACTCTAGATTTTGTTATAGTCATTTGCATGACTTCAAAATTTCCAATCATTGCTATGTATATTTTCTAAAAACTGTAGCCATATTTTGTGATTGGATGCTGGTTTTTCAACTTTCCCTTGTATGGAATGCTGGGGAGTTCTTTTCTTTTCTTTAAGTTTGGAATGTCTAAGCCAGAGGAACGAGCATCTCCCTAATCATGTTCCTTTTTTACTTGCAATTTCATTTTAACACTTCATTCTATAATCCATCAGCACTTTTTATCTATGAGATGATAATCTAAGTTGCTTTCCATTCCTAGGAACTTTTGCTACATCTTTCCTGTGATAATACAATATTTCCCATATTATTTCATTTCTTAACATGATTCATAAATGTTTCCTCTGTTATTACTCATCATTTAAAGCATTTAACTCATATTTAAGCCAGCTAATGCCAAAAAGCCCTTCTCTTTAAATATCATTACTTACATTATTTCTTAAGTGACCTTAGAACTATACTGGAACTTTACTCTCATAAAAATCATTTTCATTGTGTGTTCCACCATGGATAGTTGTAACATATATCAAGGAATGAGACATATGTTTAAAATGGATGAAAGGAATATGATGAGGCAATCTTCCTCGCAGAATGCAGTATAAAAGCAACTTATTAAATACAAAATACTGGTGTTAATTGCAAACGAATATTTTACAAGATATATAATAACAACCAAAGTAAGATTGATCAGGAAGAAATAACTTAATAACCATGTAAATTAAGACTTCAAAACTTTTGTGGACAGAATTTTAAGCAGATTGTGCAGTATATGCCTGTAATTCCAGCACTCAGGGGACTGAAGCCAGGTCTCACCAGATGACCTTGTCTCAAAACCCCAAATCAACCAAACAGAAACAAAACAAAACCTCAGGAATCCACAATATAAATTTTAGAAACCATTCAAACCAACACTAAAGGATTTTGCATCAAACCCCTATTCTGTCAGTACCTAAGTATGATCTTTGAGACCCACCTCACCCCTGTGGGCCCAAGTTCCTCAGATGTAAAGTGGAACAGAAATATTCATTGGGCTGTTTTATTAAACCACACACACATTTTAGAAATGTAGCAGTGTACCTTCTGACGAGGGAGCTCTTTACATACAGAGTTATCTCAGAATATTTGTCGACTGAGCACTACGGAACTGTCCTACCACTTGTAGAAAGTTGGAATTCCGTGGACCTCTGGGACAAGTCCTGGAAAGGATGGAAAATGGTCATTTCAGTTCACAGGAGCAGCTAGTGCCCAGATCCTATGGGTGTCATTCCTCCCTGAGCTCCCGCCCCACCGAATCCACGTATTCGCAGCAATATCGTCCCTGCCTCCACTGCCTGCTCATCCTTACAGGAGCCCCTAGTGGTTCTAGTTTCCTGCCTCAATGAAAAGTGGGAAGCCACAGGAAGAAAGCAAAAGTTTTACAGAACTGATGTATGCATGTTTGTGTGTGAGTCATCACGAGAAATATTTCTGTGGTGGAGAGTACACCAGATTACAGGGACTCCACAGAAACTGAAAGTGAAAAGGAAACCTACAGTTTGCTGAGCTCTCACAGAGCAGTGCGTCAGAGCGCCTACTGCTGGCTTCTGCAGCACAAGGGCCAGAGTCCTTCCTTGGGCTCACCTCCAAAAGGCACGAGGGGCCTTTCCTGACCAAAAAAAAAAAAAAAATTAACCAGTGCCGGAATATCAATGTACTTCGAACTTAGAATGTTACCGAAAAGAGAAAGTCTCCAGTTTCGAGCAGGAATAACCTCTTTGAGCAATGGGCAGTTGCAGGGAGAAAGAAAGGAACATGGGGTTTCCTGCCTGCAACCTGCTGTGCAGGCCACAATCTTTTGACCCACCAGCCTTTGTCCACATTGTGGGGTGGAGTCTGTTGAATTCCGGGTGGGACTGCAGTGGTAGTTAGAGGGAAGTGTCATATCCAGTAAGATGCTAAATGTCTTTGTTGGACGTAAACTGCTTCAAAATTCTTTCCAAATACCACATCATATGTGACTTTTGTATAACTATGAAAATACAGTTGTAACCACACTGAATAATATAGCCAAAAAGAGGTTTCCGATGTACTTATGAGTGGTTAGTGTATTCTAAGGTCAAATGACAGCCAGCGAGGCCTTTTCATTGATGTGTGAAAGCTGAAAGAACTTGCTTGTAATGTACACAGTTTTCAGATTTGAGGTTATTGTGTGTGTGTGTGTGTGTGTGTGTGTGTCTGTCTGTCTGTCTGTCTGTGTGTCTGTGTGTCTGTGTGTGTGTGTCTGTGTGTGTGCAGTGCCCAGGCAGGAGAGATATCAATTTAGAAGAATGTCTTTTCGTCCCCACAAGTCAGTTGTCACCACACCTGACAGGAAGGGTTTCTTGAATCTTTGCTTCCAGTGACCTAGCAAAGACTTGAATCTGTTGTTCTGTAAACTATGAGCGATGGAGTGATATTTCAATTGATTTTTTTTCATCATTGGGTTTTTGGGGTTTGTTTGATTGTTTGGTTGGTTAGTTGGGTTTGTTTCATTGGTTTTTTCATCTTTCTTCCACTACTGCTTATTGATAATCATATTGGGAGCAGGGAAAAGGTTTGAATTCTTTTGTGTCTTTAGCTTCTCTAACGCCTTCCAAATATTATCTTTACTATTGATGGTGAGGTATGTATTATTTAGAATCAGAAAAACTCAATTTGAGTTATTTATAATGTTTAAAAACTGAATTTGGGTGATGTATATATACTTATAAATTGACTTGTAGGATTTTTTTTTCCACCTTTATTTAAAATTTCTGCCTGCAAGCTTGGATTGGTTCCTCCTCAAAACTAGTCATCCTGTCACTCAAACTGCTTTCTCCTGTATGTGGAGAGAGAGAGCTGTAATCTTACTGCCCACCATGGTCTTCTCACCCTGGACCAGGAGACTCTCACCTTGGTCAGCAACAAATTTTAAATATT